TTCGAAATATAGACGAAACGGATAGGACACGCACGCAAGACGTATGCCAAACGCGTACGCGACGTACATTGATCATCCACGCGAGCGTATACGACGCGTGTGCGACATGTAGACGGTACGTATAGGCAGCGTGAACGAAACGTGTATGACACGAGCACAACACGTATACACATCGTAGCCGAAACGTTTGCGACACATGTACGACATGTGCATGGGACGAGCAAACAACGTATACAATATATATATATATATATATATATATATATATATGTGTGTGTTTACACCGTTTACGGCACGTATACACAATCATATAGAGAGTACACGCAACGCGTTCATAACGTTTACGAGACGAGTACAGAACGTTTCAGGAACCGAGCCGGCACGTACAACACACGCACACACCAAGTATGCATGACGTATACGCACCGTTACGAAGTGTATGCGATTGGTACCACACGCGTATCAAACACGGCATACGGAACAAACACGACATTTTCACACATGATACATCGAACGCGCAAAGCGCATACGAAACGCGCATACAACGGACGCAAAGCGTATCCGACACGTATACAAAACAAGGGTCCATTAGGAGCCCTGAGGGAATTCAGGGGTCCTTAATAGATTGTTGGCGATCTCCGAATCCAGAAAGGGTTCCGGAAGAGTCCTCGAGATTCTGGAGGACCTCGCAAAGACTCATGAGCATTTCTACAGGTTCCTGGGTTTCCCTAACAAATCAGGCGAATCGGAACAATTCCAGCAGATTCCTAAAGATTCTTGCGGAGTCCTGAAAGATTCTAGTGAGGTCCTAAACCGATTCGCGAGGATTCTTAAAGATTGTCGGGGATTCCTTAAGACTTCGGGCAATTCCTACAGATGCCGAGGGGGTCCAGAGGGCTCTTGCTAAGGAACGCCTCAGAAGCTGCCAAGGAGTGCCGAAGAAGCTGCCGTTGGGCGCCTCAGAAGCTGCCAAGGAGCGCGTCAGATGTTGTTAAGGAGATTATTGAATTGTTCTGAAGCTTTCACAGTTTCGGAATCTTCAGAACCTACAGCGAAAGAGTGGACCAGTTCTCTGGGAATGAACCAGCTTACCGGTGAAAAGATGGGAAATTATATTTTTCGCGGGGGAGGGGTGGGAGGTCAGGTGGGAGACGCGGGGCGCTATCTCTTCAAAGCGACGACCCAACACCACTGGATACTGGATGGTTGAGGACGACGAGAAGGAACTGGGCTGGCCCAGTCTTGGGATACATTGTTTCAGGGCGTTCTGGGCGCTCTCTGAGCGTCTCGGGGCGCTCTGGGGCGGCCGCGGCGTCCGATGTTGTCCCAGCCCTGGCCTCGTCTCAAGATCGGTGTGGACGGGAGGGTGGATGGCGAGGACGAGGAAGAAAAAGGAGGATGAGGCAAAGAAGAGCCCGCGGAGAAAGGGCGAGGAAAAGGATGAGGATCAGGTTGACGAGGACGATGTGGGACGAGGGGGGATGATATGGGGACGAGGACACTGGGTACGAAGGAGGACGCAATGATCAGTTCGGATGAGGAGCACGAGAGCGAGGATGCGGAATATCATGACCAGATTGAAGCGAGGTCAGAGCAGGATACGGAGGAGGTGGAAGAGGATGACGCAGAAGACAGCACGTTGACCTAGTGGCCGGAGGAGCAGGCGGAAAGAGGGAGGAGGAAAGATTTAGGACGAACATGAACATGGAATATGAGGGCAAGGCGTACGTGCGTGCTTGTGGTGGGGTGGGCAAGGCAGACCTGCATTCTGAGTGCGACTTCCTGCTCCACAACTTCGACACCCGGCAGGACAGCCTGCCATCGTCGTCTGCCCTTCCGTCCCCTCCAGGAAGTCAAGGAGGACGAGGAGGAGTGCGTGGAAGAGGACGGAACAGCAGTAATCCGCGGCAGAAGTTCTTTTTGAAATGCCGCGAGCGGAAATCATCCCAAACCGATGTCGGGGAGATTCCGGGATATTTGGGATACCAGTTGCTCGAATCGATGAGGATGATGAGTAGTGATGATGATGACGATGACGATAGAGATTATGGTGACGATACGCGCATGAAGAGGATGATGAGGAGAGGAGGATGTTTGTGGCGGGCACGGGAAGGTGAGCAACGTGATGACGATGATGGAGATGATGATGATGATGATGATGATGATGATGATGATGATGTTGATGTTGTTGATGATGCTGATGATGATGATGATGATGATGATGATGATGATGATGATGATGATGATGATGATGGTGATGATGATGATGATGATGACGATGGTGCTGGTGCTGGTGCTGGTGCTGGTGGTGATGATGATGCTGATGGTGATGCGGATGATTATGATGATGATGATGGTGATGTTGTCGTTGATGATGATGATGCTGATGATGATGATGATGATGGTGGTGGTGGTGGTGATGATTAGGCGGAGGACAAGGACTGGGACGGGGATCATGATGATGTGGATCATGATCAGGATGACTGTAACATTGATGATAGTGGTGTCGATGACGATGACGATGGTTTTGTCGACGACGGCGATGAGGATGCTGATGATGATGCTGCTGATGATGAGGATGATGATGATGGTCATGATGATGATGATGATGATGATGATCATCATCATCATCATAAGTATGGCGACGATGCTGATGCTGATTATATGGTGGTGGTGATGATGGTGATGAGGATGATGAAGGTGATGCGGACGACGATAAACATAAGGAAGACGCGGCTCCTGGTGCTGATGTTGCTTCTTCTGCTGCTGCTGATGATGGTGATGATGATGACGACCACGACGACCACGACGATGGCGATAACGATGACGATGGTGATGCTGATGATGATGATGATGATGACCATGATGGTGATGGTGATGGTGATGGTGATGGTGATGGTGATGGTGATGGTGATGGTGATGGTGATAGTGGTTGTGGTGGTGTTGGGGGGAGGAGGAGGAGGAGAAGGAGAGGGGAAAGGAAGACGAGGAGAGCCGTCACATTTGACACCTTTCGCCTCCAAAGCTAGACGAGACCTCGTGGACCTTACTTGGTCTGTCTTGGGTTTGGCCTCGGCCCATGTTGAACAGTCTTGGAGTCCCTTGGGGTTCCTCTTGAGCCGTCTTGGCGCCCTCTTGGGCGGTCTTGGAGCTCTCGTGGAGCTTTCGTTGCCATCTCGGGGGCCTCTTGGGGCCGTCGTGGGGCCGTCTTGGGCCGTCCAGGGGTCCTCTCGGGCCGTCTTGGGTCTCTCCGGAGGCCCTTTGGGGCCGGCCTGATGCTATTTTGGGCCCGTCCTGAGCCGTCAAAGGGGCCCTGTTGGGCTGTCAAAGAGGCTGTCTGGCCGGGGAGCCCCGGGAGGAGGAGGAGGAGGAGGAGGAGGAGGAGGAGGAGGAGGAGGAGGAGGAGCGGGGCGTCCTGGGCTGTCAAAAGGGCCCTGTTGGGCTGTCAAAGAGGTTGTCTGGCCAGGGAGCCCCAGGAGGAGGAGGGGGGGTTGTGGCAAGAGCGTCGTGGGGAAGGGCCCTGACAGCGGAGACCCCTTCCAAGAAACCCCTTGCTTGCCTCCAGGGCGCCCCGGGTTTTTTGGGGTTCCCATTGTCGTGGCATCGCTCGGACGTGTGCACTTTTCCTCCGGCGAGGACCATCGAAGAGCATCCTTGATCACTTGGCGACAAAACCACGCATGAAACCGAAAAAAACACAGGGAATGGACGTCCGAGCGATGGCCAGCTGGGTCTTTTGGGTTCCCGTTGTTGTGCGATGGAAAGCGTGACGTTGCCGCACCGAAAATCAAGGGGCGTCCTGGGGTCTCAGGGTGGGGTTTCTCGTGGAAGGCTTCTCTTGGATCGGCCCCTACAGCAGAAGAGTACAGAAACCGTTGCCACTCCTCCCTGTGCCAGGGGGCGCCGAGGCGGATCAAGTCGGGAGACCTGAGGGATTTGAGTATCCTGCCGCCGGTGGCAGCCCCAGCGGCCGCCGTCGCTAGGATTTTCTGGGGGAGGAGAGGGGCGGCAGTATTTCCGCACCCCCGCTGCCCTGCTCATTCTGCTTAATGAACGCTCGTCGCGTCGCTCTTTAGCAGAGGGGAGGCGACCTATGGAGGAGGAGGAGGAGGAGGAAGGCGAATAGTAAGAATATGAATGAGGAGGGACAACATGATAAGCATGGAGGAGAAAAGGGGAGGAGATGGAGGAGGAGGAAGAGGAGGATGCCCTGTGTAACCAAAGGTGCATCGCTGTTGCAATAAACCCTCCCTCCAGGTTCTCTCTTCAGAGGCCCCTGCCAGATTCAAGTGTTTTCAGTGCGGTAAGTCCCCCATCGGAAGACAACCGTCTGAAAGTTACCAATCGTGTCATTGCACCCTTCCTGTAACTTAGCGCCGCGGATCGACGTATCTGCTGCGTCCTGACAATCCTAGACCGTGCATAACGACCATTCCTTGGACTGCGACGCTGCGAATCGACATGACTGTTGCTTCCTTTCAATCCTACATCGCGGTCTTTGCATTTCAGCCATGCGAATCCTTGAAAACGCTGCAAACTTTCAAACCGAATGCGCGCGGCGCCGACGCGAGAACCACATTTTGAAAACGAACCGCCATCCATCCTTGAAACTGCTGCAACCTTTTAAGACGAATGCGCTCGGCGCTAGGGCGAGAGCTAAATTTTGACAACAGTCCACCCTCCATTCGTGAAACTGTTGAATTATTTCCGGGCGAATGCGCGCGGCGCTCAGGCGAGAGTTACAGCTTGAAAAACGCCGATGCAACAACCAACTTTCAAGCTTCAGGAGCATTTACGGCGAGACCTCTCCCAGTTCTCCTTCATTATTCTTTCTGACCCTCCCTTCTCTGGCAGGCCTCTCCCAGTTTTCCTCCCCCGCCTACTGCTGGGTACCACTGCCCGCGAAGCACGTCGGAAGAGCCGATGCCAGCCGGGAGCCAGACCAGAGGTCAGACGAACGCGCGCGTTGTTCGTCTTCTTGCTGCCCTTCCTCCGCCCTCAGCCATTTTGGCCCAAGGATTTTGATCAATCTCGCTGCCCTCCGTCAGGTCGCACCTCCTGAGAGGTCGAGTCGAGCATCGGCCCTGCCAACTCCTGGCCTCAGTGCGGCCCAGATGCGGCCAAACCCGTGGCTGAGGCCAGCCCAACTTGTCCCAGCCAGGACTTGGATGGATCGTCTCCGAGGCTTCCGGGGACGCCCCCACGGCGTTCCGAGGCGCTCTGGGATGGCCGCGGCGCCGGTTACATCCTCCAGAACCGCTGCAAATCAGAAGTCCTTGCTCGGTTTGGCCAGGTCGGATTTTGGCGCGGTCTTGGTTTCGTCGCACCACTAGCCATCTCGATCTCACAGGTCGCGGTCGCGCCCAGGAGCCTCCCAAGAGTGGCCTCCCGACCCCCGCCGCACCAGGCCGCCCCTGCGGTGTCGCCGCGTCTCCCCAGACGTCCGACGTCCTGTTCTTTTCAAGACGGGGCCCCTGTCCTCAGCAGGTAGAAACACACAGACACAGTGAACCGTCGATCCCCAGGGAGAAATGGGAGAACATGGGACGTGGGGGAGAAGACGAAAACCCAGAAGATATACGAAAATAGGAGGGTCCTTGGATTTGTGTCTATTTATGTGTGTTTGTGTGTGTGTGTGGGTGTGTGTGGGTGTGTGTGTGTGTGTCTGTGTGTGTGTGTCTGTGTGTGTCTGTGTCTGTGTCTGTGTCTTTGTCTGTGTCTTTGTCTGTGTCTGTGTGTTGTTGCTGAGCCCCTCTTATTTTTTCACAGGGCCAGCTTCCCATGCTGAGTTTTGTTCTGTTGACGGCCCCTGGGCCCGGCGAGGGCCGCCCGGAGGCCCGAGAACGGCGGAAGAGAGCGTTCTGCCCTGGGAGTCTCCCAGTGCGTGCGTCGGGGCATCTGGGCCCCTCCGCGTGGTCTGGGGCAACGGCAGGGGGAGATGGGCTCATCGAGGGCGGCCAAGAGGGGGGTGATGACTAGGAAATCATGGCGGGGGCCCTGATCCTTCCCCAGGTTTCTTGGCGCCTCGTCGTATTCCGATGCGTCCCCGGCCACTGGGCCGCGCTCACGCCGCCGGCCACGAGTTGCGCCCCCCCCCCCCCCCCCCCTCTTGGACGCCCCCCTCCTTGGCCGCCCCCGAGCTCAGTGGGAGGGGGGGGACGCATCGCCCCCTCCCCCCCCGATCGCCCATGGATCGTCGACCGCCGAAGAAGGAGAAACGCCATAAGCATGAACTTTTTTGGCGCTCCGCGCGGGTGTCCGATCTCCCGTGGATCGTCGACCGTCGAAGAAGGAGAAACGCCATAAGTATGAACTGTTTTGGCGCTCCGCGCGGGTGTCTCCGATCGCCCGTGGATTGTCGACCGTCGAAGAAGAAAAGCAAACGCCACAGACGTAATCATCTGGCGCTCCGCGCGGGTTTTTCTCGGATCCGCGCAGGCCCCCCTCCGCGGCGCATCCAGCGCCGCCCCTGGCGCGCATGGCGCGCCAGGGATGGGGTCGGCCACGCGCAGAGGGGAGCAGGGAGAGGGGGGAAGGCTTCTTGCAAGCACCCCTGCTTCTTAGAAGGCGCGGGCCTTCTCTATACATGTAGGGCCCGCGCCTTCTAAGAAACAGCCCCTCTTCTACGAAGGCTTCCCCCTTCCCCCTACCCCCTTGTGCGCGCCGCCAAAAGGGGGGTCCAGAGCAGATCCAAGAAATCCGGGCGGCGCGCCAAAAGTTTACGTTTACGCGCGGTTGATCTCTTTTCTGGGCAGGGGTCTCAGAGCCCCGCCCCCGCCCAAGAAACGTGCGGAATCGCCGCTGTGTCGGGGAGGCGTCGCCAGTTCCAGGTCGATGTTTCCTGCTCCTGAGCTTGAGTCGGGCACGTCCCTCTACAGGATGAATATGCAAACATAGTAAAAATATAATCTGGGAGCGATGTTTCTCATATGGGTTAACCATTCTTGCATATTTGTTATTACGTTTGTTTCCCTACCATCCTGTGGTGTTGGGTCCTCGTTTTGAAGAGCCAGCGCCCCGCGTTCCTCTCCTCTCCTCTCCTCCTCCTCTCCCTCCTCCTCCTCCTCCTCCTCCTCATCTTCTTCCTCCTCCTCCTCCTCCTCCTCCTCCTCCTCCATAGGGAGTTCCATCGAAGGCCCCAGTGGGGGTATTCGCATGCGTCTCCACACAGGACAGCGTCCCGTGGCCCCATAGGGAGCTCCACCGAAAGCCCCAGTGGGGGTGTTCGCATGCCCCCCCCCACCCAGGACAGCGTTCTGTGGCCCCATAGGGAGCTCCACCGAAGGCCCCAGTGGGGGTGTTCGCATGCGTCCCCCCCACCCAGGACAGCGTTTCGTGGCCCCACAGGGGGCTTCACCGAAGGCCCCAGTGTGGGTGTTCGCATGCGTCTCCCCCACCCAGGACACCGCTTCGTGGCCCCATATGGGGGCTCCATGCGTCTCCCCCGCCCAGGACACAGTGGCCCCATGGGGAGCTCCACCGAAGGCCCCAGTGGGGGTGTTCGCATGTGTCTCCCCCACCCAGGACAGCGCTTCGTGGCCCCATAGGCATGTCCACAGAAAACCCCAGTGGAGGTGTTCGCATGCGTCTCCCCCGCCCAGAGCGCTTCGTGGCCCCATGGGGAGCTCAACCGAAAGCCCCAGTGGGGGTGTTCGCATGCGTCCCCCCACACAAGACAGCGCTTCGTGGCCCCACAAGGAGCTCCACCGAAGGCCCCTGTGGGAATGTTCGCATGCGTCTCCCCCACCCAGGACAGCGCTTCGTGGCCCCATAGGGAGCTCCACCGAAAGCCCCTGTGGGGATGTTCGCATGCGTCTCCCCTACCCAGGACAGCGCTTCGTGGCCCCATATGGGAGCTCCACCGAAGGCCCCTGTGGGGGTGTTCGCATGCGTCTCCCCCGCCCAGGACAACGCTTCGTGGCCCCATGGGGAGCTCCACCGAAGGCCCCAGTGAGGGTGTTTGCCTCCCCACCCAGGACAGCGTTTCGTGGCCCCATAGGCATTTCCACGAAAAAGCTCCAGTGGGGGTGTTCGCATGCGTCTCCCCCACCCAAGACAACGTTTCGTGGCCCCATTGGGAGCTCAACCGAAAGCCCCAGTGGGGGTGTTCGCATGCGTCCCCCCCACACAAGACAGCGCTTCGTGGCCCCATAAGGAGCTCCACCGAAGGCCCCTGTGGGGATGTTCGCATGCGTCTCCCCCACCCAGGACAGCGCTTCGTGGCCCCATAGGGAGCTCCACCGACAGCCCTAATGGGGGTGTTTGCATGCGTCTCCCCCGCCTAGGACAGCGTTTCGTGGCCCCATATGGGAGCTCCACCGAAGGCCCCAGTGGGGGTGTTCGCATGCGTCTCCCCCGCCCCGGACAGCGCTTCGTGGCCCCATAGGGAGCTCCACAAAAAGCCCCAGTGGGGGTGTTCGCATGCGTCTCCCCCGCCCAGGACAGCGCTTCGTGGCCCCATAGGGAGCTCTTCCGAAGGCCCCGGTGGGGGTGTTCGCATGCGTCTCCCCCGCCCAGGACAGCGTTCCGTGGCCCCATGGGGAGCTCAACCGAAGGTCCCAGTGGGGGTGTATGCGTCTCCCCCACCCAGGACAGCGCTTCGTGGCCCCATAAGCATTTCCACAGAAAACCCAATTGAGGGTGTTCGCATGCGTTTCCCCCACCCAGGACAGCGTTTCGTGGCCCCATAGGGAACCCCACAAAAAGCCCCAGTGGGGGTGTTTGCATGCGTCTCTCCCACCCAGGACAGCGCTTCGTGGCCCCATAGGGAGCTCCACCGAGAGCCCCAGTGGAGGTGTTCGCATGCGTCCCCGCCACACAGGACAACGCTTCTTGGCCCCAAAGGCATCTCCACCGAAAGCCCCAGTGGGGGTGTTCGCATGCGTCTCCCCCATCCAGGACAGCGGTTCGTGGCCCCATAGGGAGCTCCACCGAAGGCCCCAGTGGGGGTGTTCGCATGTGTCTCCCCCGCCCAGGACAACATTTCGTGGCCCCACAGGGGATTCCACCGAAAACCCAAGTGGGGGTGTTCGCATGCGTCTCCCCCACCCAGGACAGCGCTTCGTGGCCCCATAGGGAGCTGGGAGCTCCACCGAAGGCCCCAGTGGGGTGTTCGCATGCGTCTCCCCCCCAGAGGACAGCGCTTCGTGGCCCCATAGGGAGCTCCACCGAAAGCCCCAGTGGGGGTGTTCGCATGTGTCTCCCCCACCCAGGACAGCGATTCGTGGCCCCATAGGGAGCTCCACCGAAGGCCCCAGTGGCTGCATTCGCATGCGTCTCCCCGCTCAGGACAGCATTTCGTGGCTCCATGGGGAGCCCCACCGAATGCGTTGCTCACAAAGACGGTACTCACAACTGCATATGGTTGGGTCCTTCGCCAGGCTCATTGATTTTTCATCCAATATCCCCCTGTAGGAGGACATGTCCGACCTGATCCTGAGCCTGTTTCCCCTTCTCTTACGTCATCTTCGGGGACTCCGTGTGTCCCCCGCATTGGCGTCTGTTCTTGTGCCCGGCGCGGGCTTAGATGCGGACTCGACGCGGATCTGGCGCGGCCTCGACGCCGATCCGACGTGGATTCGACGCCGATTCGATGCGGACAGGACGGGCCCGACTCGGACTCGACACGTATTCGACGCGGACAGGGGCGCGATGGGACGGAGGAGGCCACCAGAGGACGCAGCACACAATCTGGCGGCCCGCACAGAGGGGTACATATATTCCTCTTCCTATATTTTTATAAGCCCGGGCGGGGGGAAAACCCGTCACCCCACCCCCCTAAAACCGGACCCCCGGAATCTGCAGCTTTGGGACCCTCCGGACGGGCCTCGAAGCGGCCCCCTGGGCCTCGCAGGGCGTTTTGCCAAGCCTTCGCAGCACACCCAGGGCGATCAGGGGGGTCTCCGGAGACGTCCCAGAGACCCCCAAGACAGCACAAGAGCGCTCCAAGAAGCCGTCATATTCCGAAAGATTGATCCAAAACGTACCAAGAGGCCTCCAAGAGCACCCCCAAAAAGGCCCCAAAAAGGAATTAGCCTGACGAAGGACCCAA